AATGCACACACTGCCGCGTTTCGTTCGGCTCTTCCATGTGGATATCTGGGTCTGGTCCCGGGTCCTGGGGTCCATTCATTTGCACCAGTACAAGGCAATCGCATATTTGTGGCAGGAAACGTGGCCGCGCAGGAGGCAGGGGCTGAGGGAGGGGTGAACGAGATTGTCAAGGTTTTGAATGCCTCAGTGGCTCAGCGGCTGTCGCTGTCGTTCAAACTGTGGCCCTGGTCGGGGCCCTCTGTCCTCTGCCCTTTGGCCCCGATGTAAACGCATAATGCATGAAGTTGTCATTATCAGGGCCAATTCAATTGAGAATTTTCGTGTCTAATTCGGCAGAGGGCCCAGCAGAGGAGCAACAAAAGAAACCGACATTTTGCATAATTGAAAATTTGCAGTGGCAAAAACGGGACTACATGCCACTCCCACGGGCGTTGATTGCCCAAAAATTTGTTGACCATTGACACACGGGTGGCAAGGGTGGCTAGCGGGGAGGGGGCAGGAGTTGCCACATGATTATACGAGCACTTTGTATGTGCCTGCTGTGTGTGTGTGTGTGCGGGGTGGGGGTGTGCCAAAGTAATTTAAACTTCATGTCAAATTCAGCAAAGTCCTTCAATTTCAATGTCGATGCATAATTTTGGCCAACATTGTGGCTGCCTGCCTGCCACTTGAGGCATTACCTGAGGCACGGGTCCTCCTAGGCCCAGCAGCAGCAGCAGCAGCAGCACAATGATGTGTAGTTTTTGTTCCTTCTTAGCCCTGAAAAGCCTTCAGTACTCCGTACCCTCTCCTCGCACAGATCCCTGGGACTAGCATTTGACTTGAACGCAATTTATGCAAATTTGTTGGGGCACAGAAGACAACGTCAACGCCAACGACAGCGACAGCGACAGCGACGAGCGCACATGGCAATCAGTGAAATGTGTGTGTTGACAGCAGGGCCTGCCCCGCCCCCTTTAGACGGATTCCAATTCTCCCGACACGTCCAGCCTTGGCATCATTTAACAAGGCCCAAGCCGCATCCCCAATCCGCTTGATTAGCATAAACGCATTAAAAATATGCCCACGCGGGTGTGTGTGTGTGGTTTTTGGGAGCCACTACCCAGAGGAGGGGGAGGAGGGCGGATTTTATGGATTATATTGTTTGTTTTGACATCCTGCGATGAGAGCATCATAACGGCGAAAATGAATTTTCAATTGCCCCAAGACCATGTGGCATAAACTGAGGATTTTGCTGAGCTAAGCTGCACAGAGAATATATGGTATAAGACCCTATAGATAGAAATTATTTTAAAGTTCATTCCCCTCTCCCCAACACCCCCCAACCCCAGCCAAGACCGACCCCAGGCAAGGCATTCTCCAGGAATGTCCATAGTCTGAGTCGCGCATTCAATATGCAAATTTTTCTATTGATTTATATTTAATCGCTTCTAAGTGCAACGGCGGCAGCCCCAGCCCCAGCACCAGCACCAGCACCCTGCCACCGCCGGCTCTAGCTGCAACCAGATGATGCCATCAGAAAGGGATGGGGGAGTGGGGAGAGGGGTCTGAATGCAATCATAAATAAACAGCACGCATCCAGAATACGTATACTTACAAGTGAATATGTAAATAACGCGAAAGGACAGGGACAGGGACAGGAAGAGGAGCACCAGCCACAAGGCAGCACCGCCACCATTTTGCAGCTCGCAGCCAGGGTTGTCATCGTTATTTAACATTTTTCCTGAAAGCTGCATCGTCTGTTGCATGCATCACTCACTCACTTAGCGGCTCCTACTCCTTGGACGCCTCCTAGCCTCCCAGTCTCCCACCTCCTCCGCGCTTCCTACCACAAATTATAGTACGTTGCAGCGCTCTGACACGAATCTGTATTTGTCTTTGGTGCACCATCAGTTATTTGTCTCGCGTGTGGCATTGTTTATCTTGCCTCAGTTCTGAGGTGCCTGTCCTCTCCTGCTGTGCTCTTTGCTGTGCTGTTGCGGCGTAATGTGCGGCTAAATGCGATGAAATTAAGTTAACTGCCAACATTAACGGGCGCTTGCAGCGTGGATGGAAAACTTTTCCGTGCTAACTAGATTTCGAGACGAGCGAAAAATTAAATTTGCGAAATTGTCAACCTCTAGCCCGTCCACAACATTCCATTATGCTGCCATCAAAAGGATTTTAAATCAATTTTACGGGGAGTACGACCGAGGCGAAGACGCAGGGGACTAAGCCGTGGACCGCACTGCGTATGCGCAATTAGGGGAATAAATGCCCCTTGAGACGCCTCAAAGAAGGGAGTGATTAGGCATCCTCCCGTAGTGGTGCCTCCTCCAAGACAGACCAGGGAACGGTTGAGTGGAGGTGTGACACGCTGGGGCAGCGGGCAGCGGGCAGCTACTGGATGTGCAGCAGTGGAAATGATTACCAGCACGACCACGTCCTACCCGCTAACCCTTTGTGTGCGTGTGTGTGTGTGTGTTATTATCTACCACGTGGCTACTTGAGCGCATCGAATGAGTACTTTGATCCGTCCGTCAACAGCAATACTACGAGTATGCATGCGTGTGCCACAGACATCTCCATCTTGTGGTCACTAAGCAATGGATATGGGCACCTGGCACCGGTCTGAGGGTCTGCAAATCATTTGACGTTTGCATTCGACCCTCACGGCGAATGCTCGTCTAATGCACTGATTATTTGGCTGCACACAAGCGGAGAGTGGAGATGGAGAGTGGCGCTGGAGATGTGGAACTGGAGACGTGGAGCTGGAGATGTGGCGCTGCCGTGGCAACCAATTTCCAGCGACTACTACGAGTATTTCCAATAATTTAGCAATCCCTCTGCTCGCCTGGGGTTGCACACACCCCACTTGAACTTAATTGAATTGAATTGAATAGAGAATCAGGAATTGAGGATTCAAGGATTCGGCAGGGGAGCAGCTTCAAGCCTCGAGTGTGGCACGTTGCACTTTAAACGGAATCACCTCGTTTTTGTTTTGCCCCTGGCCTGCCTCTGGAAACAAATCAATTTATGCCTCAGCAACGTTTGAACCATTTTCGATTCGAATTCTGTTTCTGTTTTCCGATTTCTGGGCTCGGTTTCGTTTCTGATATTTCTGCCGCCTCTGTTGCTGTTTCGCTTTGTGCAATTGACGGGTCAATAATTAAGACTGGGCGCATGCCCCTTCCACTGCCACTGCCCCTGCCACTGCCACTGCCCCTGCCACTGGCTTGAAAAAAACGGATTGCTCTTTTTCTGTAGCTGCCAATGTGTTGCAAAGTCGATTTCCTAGTTGATTTAAGTTTCAAAGCCACTGACAAAGATGCCACGGATGAGGTGTTGCCGTTGTTCCCCGCAAACTGGATTAAATTTCGTTTAAAATGTAAATGGAGCAGGGCCCCGCCTGATAGACAGCGTTTCGGCCTGCCTTTTGGGTTGCGTGAATCATATCCAAATTGCGTTACGTTGCGTTTCGTTTCGTTCCAAAAAAGAAAAATGGAAGGGAAAGAAAAGCCAAAGTGAAAGCGAAGGAAAACTAAACAAACACCTCGTCAAAGAACATCAAAGGCCGCCAAGGACAAGAGGGGCGGAAAATCTAAAAAATACGAAAAGGAAAACAAGAAAAAGTATCGGTTTTGAGAGTCGAAGCATGAGATGCCCTGAAACGAAAATTGGTTGTGTATACGATTGATTCGATGGTTTTTCGGTAGAAAGCTGCAAGTTTTTCCAGCGAAAAATCATTTCCATGTTGCCTTTTTAAGGTTTCGATCCACTAACAGTGGGAAGTGAAGTGGTGGAGTCTGGTATACTACCTTTTTTTGAGTGTCATACATCTATTGGAAACCCTTTAATTCCCCGCAAGAAGAGTATGCAACAGCAAAGAGCAAAAGGAGCAATACAACAAAATTGAGAAAGAAAGAAAAACATTTTATTTTGGTGCGCACAACGCAGAAAATAAAATCAAGAATTTCACACCTTATCAATTTTTCTAGATTAACAAAACGAACAATGAAGAGGGGCTGCGAGTGGTGGATCTGTGTGGGGGGATTTCCTTTCGCGCAACCACCATGGGAAGGCTGTGGAATTGCATCATCAACATGGGGCAAGAAGGAGGTCGACATCATCAACATCATCATCATCATCAGCAAGAACAGCAACAGTGGGAGTTGGAGAAGCAGCAGCCTTCTCTCCTGTGCCCTGTGCCCTGTGCCCTGTGCACCGTCACCACAGTTTGTCATTAAGGAAGTCAAAAACTTCGACCCCCAAGCAGAGTTTAGAGGCGAACAAAGAGTACCGAGTGGATAGAGTGGATAGAGCGTATAGAGGGTGGCTAGAAAATACAGACAGAGAGTGAAGGAGAAAGCTAGAGATTGGTTTGGCTTTGTGTGACAGCAGTGTTGACATTTATTTTGATTTCAGTTTCGAGTGCAACTCGTAAGTGGGTGAACCTTTCGCTTCCCACACTCCCACTCTCTGAAAACGACTACTCCTCATGCTAATGTGCATCCCGGCTTAAGTCTGCGGCCCAAAAACACTTTGCCGAAGAACCAGGGGAGGGTGGCCTTTTTTTTTGGTTGAACGTACCCTTCAGAAGTAGGCTATGACGGCTTTACAGAGAATGTCGAGCATCTTAAGCCCAGGGGAGTCGATATAGCCTTGTTCATATACATTTTTCTGCCTATAAGAGTATCTATCCATCTGCTTCCAAAGCTAGTTGTTTTTCTGTGGGGCTGGGACTATGTCTTCATTGTTGCTGGCACTAAATTGAATTTTACTTTTGATGTGTGCGTTTATTAATGTCTGCTGGGGTCTGGTGGAATGGTGGTAGAGCTTCAGAGTGCGAGTGGGGCTCTCAGGAGGAACAGGAGTGTAAGTCTCCTTCCCTTATTTATAGGTACATGCCTCAGGAGTTTCCCAAATAGATATTCCTTTGCCTAGCGGAGAATATCGATCTCAGATCGGTGTTATCGCCTGGGCTGAACCCAGTAGGCCATCAGTCAACTATCGTTACGGATATATGAGTATAAAATTTGTTGTTTTCATTTAAACTGAGGGCTATGGCGGACAAGTAGGTTTTGCGATTAATCTCAAGAATTCCCTTCTTTTGCTAACATTTTCTTTCTGTTCCCCAGCTACAATCCCTATGAAAACCGTGCTGTGGAAGCCCCCATAACGTAAGATATGCCCGTCCCTGGAGAAACTCTTCTCATCTTCTGCCCAAACCCCCCAAACGAAAAAAACAGGAATACGGGGGCCTTTGTGTCGCTGCTCAAGGGCGTTATAGGAACAGGAATCCTGGCCCTGCCCCTTGCCTTCTCCTACACGGGCTGGATGTGCGGCGCCATCTTGCTGATCCTCACGACGATCATGCTGATCCATGGCATCACTCTGCTTGTGGGTGGACAGCGGCCTGGAAGCTCCACCGACTCTCCATTGATTCCACTATCTTCTTTATTTGCAGGTCATGTGCATGGTAGAGTCCGCGCGGCGGCAGAAGCAGGGCTACTGCAACTTCTCGGACACAATGGTGTTCTCCTTCGGCGAAGGACCCAAGTGGTGCAAGTACTGCGCCAAAGCCGCTGGCTTCCTGGTGGACTTAGTGCTCAGCTTCTCCCACTACGGCGTCTGCGTGGTCTATCTCGTGTTTGTGGCCGTCAACCTGAAGCACCTGGCGGAACAGTTCAAGTTCGACGTGGACCTGCGCATCTACATAGCGATCGTAGGGCTGTGCACGATACCGCTCTTCCTCGTGCGGCACCTCAAGTACCTGGTGCCCTTCAATATAGTGGCCAATATCGTCATGTATGTGGGCTTCTTTATGATTTTTTACTACTTGTTTCGGGGCCTGCCACCCATAACGGATCGCAAGTTTTTCAACGAGCCCTCCAAGTATCCTCTCTTCTTCGGCATCGTCCTGTTTTCCGTCAGCTCTGTGGGAGTGGTAAGTCCTGCCAGCCATCCAGGCCACGCTCTGTCCTCCGACTAATCCTTATCGTAACCCTAATCTTCATCAGATGCTGGCCATTGAGGCGAAGATGGCCCAGCCGCAGAATTACATCGGCCTGTTCGGCGTCCTGAATCTTTCCGCCGTTATGGTCGTCATCTCCTACCTGCTATTCGCCATCATGGGCTACTGGAAGTACGGACCGCTAGTTGACGGCAGTATAACCCTCAATCTGCCCACCGACGAAGTGTGAGTGCCAGGGCGAGAGCTGCCAATTAGAGAGCCCCCCGACCCCAGTAATCCCCTATAGAATCTCGCAGATCTCCAAGGCGCTGATCAGCCTGGCTTTGTTCCTGTCGTACCCCCTGTCCGGCTATGTCACCATCGACATCCTTGTGAACCACTACCTGAACCGCGGCGACCGGCTGAGGCATCCGCACGTTGTGGAGTACATTTGCCGGGTGTGCTTCGTGCTCGTGAGCACCGTCACTGCGGTGGCCTTCCCCAATCTGGGGCCCCTGCTGGCCTTCGTCGGCGCCCTCACCATATCGCTGCTCAATCTGGTCTTTCCCGCCTGCATCGATATGTGCCTCAACTACCACGCCCCCTACACCTACGGCAAGCTGAGGTGGCAGCTCGTCAAGAACATTCTGCTGATCATCGCTGGCCTGCTGATCCTCGGCTACTGCTGCACCCTGTCCGTTCAGGACATGATAAAGGAGTACGGCGGCAGCAAAAAATCGTTCAGCGCGAAAAACGTGCCCGTTGGAGTGCTGACCCATGAATAAAGAATGCTTTCTGTGGTGATCGGGCGGCTTGATTACAGTGGGGGATCGGACAGAGATTGGTCGTGTAAATAAGCTCAAAAAGAGAGCAAAGTAGAGTTTATATAGAGGGATAGAGAGGGAGTGAGGCAGACGGAAAAACTTGGCATGTAAATTCAATGAAATATGGCTTGCAAAAATGCCTCGCACAAGCAACGCCTCAAAATGCCAGCAATGTGGTGACCAGTGAGCCACGAGCCAGGAGGAGTCCAGGAGCAGCAGCAGCTGGAAATTCCAGGCATAACTTGTAGCAGCAACGAGACGAGAGCATATGTAAAAAAAACGAAGCCAAGGACAGACTCACAAAGAGTTCGGCGCCTAGCATAGTACTGACCCAAAGGATACCCTCTGCTCTTCATTCCTTCTCCCTGCTACATCCTTCAGAACATGTCCAGCACAGCCTTGCACTCCCCCGTCTGGAGAGGGTATTGAAAAGAATGGAAAATCTAGACCAGCCAAGTCTCTAAATTGTGTGTCCCTAAAAGTGTCCGGCGGCACATAATGCTCTCGGAGCAAGCACACACAGGCGCACACACACAGAGACAGAAATCTGACTGTGTCCTTGCCATATGCAACGTCTGGCACTGTTGTCACTGCCACTGCCACTGCCACTGCTGCCCAATGGCCGCAAGGAATTTCACACAATTGCTAGAAAAATTGCGGAAAATTGAAAATGTGCGAGAGCGTATAAATTTTTACTGCGTCACTTGTGAATGCTAAATTGTTGTTATTTATGGGCGCCCCCAAGCCACACCCCCTACCCAAATAGAGAGCGGCAGAAAGAATCATTTGAAAGCTAAGGAAATATCCTTATGAAAATCGCAGCCCCATGGCTTCAAGGCCAGCGCGAAGAAAGGTGTACATCTTTCTACCATAATAGATCGTTGATGAAGCGGCCTCTAGGCCGAAGCTTTGGAAGCGACTGATCTCGGTCGCCTCTTCCTGCAGCTTGCCGTCACAGCTCCGGTCGTAGAACATTAGGTAGCCGATCTCCATGGTCTTGGGATTGCTGATAATCAAGTATCGCATGTCGTGTGTCATCTCGTTGTCCAGCAGTAGAAACTCCACGATGGCCACGTACCGAAAGGGGGAGCCGCCACTGCAGTATTCCGACAGTGCCAGAGCCTCGTCCGCATCGATGGCCAGGACCATGGGAGAGGGAAGGGCTTCCCTATGAATCAGGGCATAGACCATTTCCGGCTTGCAGGCCAGGAAACCACAGCACACGGCCCCGCGATGGTTTGCCTTCAGTGTCTCATAGACCTGGCGGCGACGGGACATTTTCCTGCCTCTTGCCACCTCAAAGACGTGGGTGGGCGAGGTCTTTGGAGTTGGGACGGCCAGGTGGTCGTACAGAAGCTCGATCTTCTCCTTGTCGATGGTCCGCAGGGTGGCTATATCGCCTTGCTCCACGAGGACCGTGTACAGAAGCTGAACGACATGGTACTCGACCTGATAGCACCCGCTTTCGTTCACCTCCTGCAGGAGGCCCTCGAGAGGAGGCACATCAGCCACCGTGTGGCACAGCAGATCAACGTTGGGCTCCAGAAAGCGCTTGGGAAAGGAAGGAAGCAATCGCGAGTCGCGGCGATAGTTGAGAGCCGCTGCAGCAAATATATCCCAAAGAGCCGCGCAACCCTGCAGATCCGCTTTGAGGCGAAGCTGCAACATGGCCCAGGTGCAAATGTTGTACTCCCACTCCATCCTCTGGCAGCTCGTTGACCTCGGCCGAGGGTTAGGCTCGAAAAGGAGCGCCAGGGAGCCGGAGCCTCCCTGGTAGTGGCCGCGGCTCTTCCTTCCCAATTCGAATATCTTGTGCGACATTTTGCGAGTATCTGATGTAGATTTTGATCCGTGTGAAGTGCTTTTCTATGTGTCCTTATAATCAATCTGGGCTACTGACAATCCAATGAAGTTTGCCGCAAAGGTAGGCCTGCTGTCGGGTTGGCTGCCGGAGATTGAGTTTCACTGAGATTGTGGCATGGCAACAGTTGCCAAATGGGGTGCTTACGTGGCTTGGCTCTCGTCTGTAATTGATTAATGGAGCCTCATGTTGACTGCTGTCTGATGCCTGATGCCTGCTGTCTGCTGCCTGACGTTCAACTTATGCCACCGATTGTAGCCCGGAGGTCCAAGGATGCGGTGGTTCCTGCCTTCAGTAAAACATTCCAAGAACAGCCTCTGCCTTTGTGGAATGGTCAAAGTTGCATCATTCCTAGGCAGTTAATTGGATACTTTTTCAATACTTTTATCTCCCTTTATCAACCCGCCATACCCGTCAGCCACTCTTTCGCTTGCCACCTGCACACCCCAAACACCCCAAAACAGCCTGCAACAGCCCCCTGTGGCATGCGTAATTTATTGATATACTCGCGCTAAATTATGAGTCTCCTGGGGGGCGCGAGAATAAAATAATTTTTTTGTTTTTTCCGTCTCTTGTTTCGGGTTACGGGAAGGGGAATGGGGTTCTGCTTCAGCTTCTGCTTCTGGGGCATGGTTGCAGGTGTGCTGCTGCGAGTAGGTCTGTGTGGAAATCAGTTAACCGAAAAAGTTGGCAACTTTTTTGCCTCTGCCGCTGCCGGTGCCGGTGCTCGCTGCCTGTGAAATCAAAGTTTGAGTTTATTCAAATAAACGCCGACATTAAGAGAGTTGCAACTGTTGCGTTGGTGCCGCGCCGCACTCAGCCTCCGCCGTCGCCTTCGCCTCTACCTCTGTTTCGGTCTATGCCCCAGTCTATGACTTCCACGGCGGGGCATAAATCAGAGCCAACAGCCGCAGCAAATGGAAGACGAAACTTTTTTCGTAGATAAACTTTTGACGTCATTTAACCCTCTATTTTTGTTGAGGCGGAGGCGTGAGGGGTATTGGGGGAGGAAATGTTATTAATATGCTCAAGTTTCCGTCTTTTTTGTGGAGATGTCAATCGTCTCGCGAGGCGGCTGCACCTGCTAAATAATTCGTGGCACCAGCAATCGATTTGCCCCCAAGCCGGAAGAAAGCCATGGGATGGGTTCTGGGGGTTCGTTTCGTTTATTTCACAGGGAGGCTAGAAGCTAGCGAGGAAAAAGTACGATTTGAGAGACTCCACAATCCGTTCCACGTAGATGCCGTTGGAGTGCATCACAAAGATTAGATTACGCAGCGGCACAGAGTTCTGGAAGAGTCATTTGTAGAGCTAATTAATGGTTTTTGATGGGATATTTGATGGGCATGTGACAAAGATATTCATTATGTAAAATCCTAGTTGAAAAAGTTTCAAATATGGGACATATGTATGTACATATCACCGATAGATACATTTATAAAATATCGAGCGTTTACCGACTCTTTTATTCGATTTTTCATGCAGAAAACTAATAAATCGATAGAATATTTGAGTTTTGAATCTTTTTCCCTACAAACACAGACATTTTTTATTGGGGATATCATCGTAGGTATGCATGTGCCTCCCCAGAAGTAATCATCAACAGCATCTGGATCAGACGATGGCTTGAGAATCAGTGTAGCGAAATCAATTATCAGAAACACGCTCTCCGCTGAATTGCCTGATAAATATATGGATGTTGGATGTTGGATGCTGGATGCTGGGGAAATGCTCTCACACGCAGAAAAATAAATATAAAATTGCCTTGTGGCTGTCGATTTGATTTCATAAATATGTGCAGCACGTACCGCAGCTCAATTGCCAATTAGAAGAGCGCCCAGCAAGAAGGCCAGGGGAAGTAAGGAGGGGACGGGAGGGCGGGGCAGGGCAGGGCAGTGCAGAATGAGGAACGCCTTGGCACTTGAAAATTCGTGGCCAAAAAGGAAGGCCGCCCAGCATGAGGCATGCGGCATCCGCGTCAACGGAAGTTGATTTGTATACCGAATCGCATACAAAAGTTGCCCACTTTTAACCTGCACCTTTTTTCTTTGGTTTTTCCGCTTTCCTTGGGAAAAGGCAATAAGGCCAATTGTGAATTTCTCTCACGTCGCGTTGGGAAATTATTAAGAAGCCAGCCACACGGTCGACCGACACGGAGCTCAGAGCAAACAAAGCGTGTCCCCAAACGAAATACAATTACCTGACGGTTAGCTGGGTTAGCTGGGAGTTAGCTGGGAGGTTAGCTGGGAGTGGATGCTCACCTGAAGATTGCTGAGGATTTTGGCAAACTTGGGAGTGCCGATGCTGTCGACGAGGGCCGCGAACTGCTTGTCGCTTTCGGTCTTGTCGAAGAAGGTGGCCAGTAGCTGGTCCTGCGGCAGGACGTCCAGGATGCTGTCCACCAGCCCGTGCAGGCCGTTGAGTGGCTCTCTAGTAGTGGTGCTCCCCCAATCGCTGGCTGAAGTGGTGAGAGGGAATCCACGAGTTGTCGAAAAAACCCCACAATACATTACGTATACGCACCATTGGCAGCCGCTGAATTGGTGGGCAAGTCCAGAGACGAGGGCTTGCTGGCCTTCGCCAGGGAATCCATTATCTTGAGCACATCCAAGCCGCTGGCATTCAGGTATCGGGTGAAGGCCAGGACCTCTGGCAGCTGCAGCATCTGGTGCTTGATGGCCACGAAGCTAGTGGAGAGGAAGGCATAGGCCCGTTGCACCTCCGCATCATGGTGGTAGTAGTGGCTGGCTATCGACTGCACCTCTCGGGCCGGGATCAGAGCCACAAAGGCACTCAGATCGATGGGCTGGGCGGCGGGGCTCTCCTCTGGCGGCTGCTCCTCTGCAGACTGCTCTTCGGAGGTGGACGTGTCTTCTGAGAGCTGGCTCTGGCTTTTGTTTTTGTTGGAGAGAAATATCAGATCATCCGAAACATTCGATTGGCTACTCTCGTCCTTGTCCTCGGCCTCATCGCTGCCGGATTCGCTCAGGGTGATCAGGGCAATGGTGCTGCTGTTGTCCTCTGGCTGCCCAGTCTCCTCCACCTTGATGATGTCCTCCACCATCACGATCTCATCGCTGTGGCCCATCGAAAGGCAGATGCTTGTGGCACAGAGGGCCATCAGCAGTAGATGTGGGCACTGGAGCAGCAGTGGTATCCGTTGCACTCTCATGTTGATGTGTGATCCACTGAACGAACTGGGGGATTATGACGGCTGTATTGGTCTCTTCTGGGTGCCCCTCGGTGGGGCTGCTTCTGTGTAGACTTTGGAGACTCTCGACGCAATTGCTGAGCACTTTTTTCGAGCGTTTATTTAATTGAATCAGCAGCAAATAACACAGCAGTCTGTGTTGTGGGAATGCGGGGGTCACTCGATAAAGTTTTGAGTGTATAAATTATTGATTTGGCTTATCTGTGGGCTCTGGCCAGGGCCAGTTCCATTCGATTAGGCCATAAAACATAGCCTCAGGCCCCAGAGCATCGTAAATTATTTGAATGAGTATGTTTCCTGTTTGTGGGAGGAAATCTGTTCTCTCATATGCAAATCAAGGAGCACGGTACTCTTCCCCTGTGCGATGTCTCTCTGATATTCACACTTTGACAGCTGTTGGAATGTCAGTCGGTTACTCACTGTACGAGTGCGGGTATGTGTCACTCATTCAGTCAGTCGCTCATTCAGGTCTCCTTTCCATCTCGTGCACCCTCGTATATACAGATTTATATATGTATATGTGCGCGTATACGGATGTACACAGAGTGTAGATGTGGGCTGTGATATATTCATTTGCTCATTCAGCAAGTTAAGTAGGAATAAAATTGTCAATTTTCATGTCATTATTCCATGTCGTTGTCGTCGTTTGCCGTGCGGCATTCACTTTCGCATGTGTCAACTGTGACACTGTCGCCCCCATGCCCCCATGCCCCCATACAATATATAGTATTTGTGAGCCTGCTCAGATATGATTTATTCACTTGGTTTGATTTATTACAGCGCCCCCCTTCCCCCCACTCACACACACACATTCTCTCTATGGGAATGTAAATTGCCTCTGCCTACAAAACCAATAATTGTATCGTTGTCAACGTCAGAAGGGGTCTATCCGACTGACTGTCTGTCTGTCTGTCTCGGAAGAACTTTCCTTCGTGGTTGTGGCAATTTTTTACATAAATAATTTAACTAAGCCATAAATTGATTAAAACTTTGGCCAGAACCGAGCCCCAAACCAGTGGCTTGCCACCTATCATAACGTATGACACTTGATAAATTTTTGGCGATCCCTCTCCCCGTTCTCTGCGCCGGAACGAACCAACTTTTGAGCCGCAAAGTTCTAGCGTTGGCAGTAAACAAAAGCTGCTGGGGCGGAGGTCAGGCGGCGGCAAGTATTCCTCTGGTCGCGGACCGAAACTTATAAATTAATTTCTTGCCACACCACACAGCAAAATACTTTGGCCGGCACTTGGGGCATACGCATACCAGCAGCAGCAGCTGCCATAAAGGTGGCGCAGCAAGTGCGCTGTGGTTGCCACCGAGTTGCCTGCCTTCCAGCCTGCCTGCCACTTAATTAACTGCAGTCCGGCTGCCGGTCGTGTGCCGGGGTCCAAAGTATAGCCAAAGTATAGCAAAAGTAGAAAGCGGTACGCACCTGTGACATGGCCCAGACATGGCTCCCCTTCGTGGCGGTTAATTTCATGCTGCCTGCCCCCGGCAGACCGTGTGTGTGTGTGTGTGTGTGTGTGTGTGTGTGGCACGTTGTTTTAAAGTGATTTGCCTGTGCCAGAGCCTTTTGTTTATGTTGCGGCATAAGAGCCTCCGCTTTACCGCAAGTGTCAACATTTATTTCCAACTTAACACTTTTGGCGTAACATTGCGCTTAATCCGTAGCCCCCCCGCCCCACGCCCTCCGCGCCAAGAGCCAAGAGCCAAGAACTTGACTAATTTTGTGCAAAGTTCAGCATTAACATTACCGCAAATTAGCAAAAGTTTTTCGCACAAACAGCCGCTGCGCAGAAAAACAAAGGAAGTAGCAAAAAAAGAAAACACGAAGGAAAAAATGATTTCCCCAGTAGGTATTACGACTATAAGATACTCAACCATTCAGTTCTTTGGTACTTTCTACACTCCCGATGATTGGAGGAAACTTTCGGAAGAGACCATCTACGGGTATAGGATCCCTAAACTATCGACAGAGACGTAACCAAAGTAAGCTTAAGGCTTGTAGATTTTGTGATCTCGGGTTTAAAATTAAACTTTTGGTACGAATCTTCTATATAGTTATATTTTCAATAGATGTTAGCACATTTCTACGGAATTTAAGCAAGCTTCCACTGCAGTTTATAAGCCAGGAAATGGTGTAGATTGCCTTTTGCTATCATTTATAGAGGCTATGGATATGCTACCTTCTTTCCTCCTGTCGCACACATCACTTACAATCCAATGTACCCATTCACTTGCCCTGTACCGTGCCTCCGAAAGGGAGAAGAAAATCGGATTCCAGAACAGGGACAGAGAACGGTTTGAGTTGTGGCATCAGCAGACGTTGCCTGCCCCACTATCTGGTGGATGGTTCAGTGACTGCCATAAATTAACTTGTCTAAGGCCCAGTACCGGCAGCTTCTTTGCCAGATTTTGCCACTGGAGTCCCCCCTGCCCTTCTGCCAGCACTTGGAGTTGTAATCTGTTTCGCACTTAGTGTCCTCTGGCTCCCTCTCCCTATCTTTTCTTTCTTTTTACCTTGCTTTGTTTGGTTTATTTAAAGATCAATCGATATATGGGTCTATCCCACATTGACTTGTCCGTGTCAGCCGTCAATCAGTTTCGGTCCTACCTCGAACACCCCCAACAAAAGATGTCACTAAACCATAACAGAAACAAGCAAAAACAAGCAGAAATCGTGCTGGATTCGAGAACCGAAGCACTAGATACACTAACAGATGTATGCTTCCAAGAAGTTCTTTTGCTAAAACAGGGGAATCTATCAAAAGATCTGCCATTGTACCTTCTGGAAGGGTATAACAACATTATGTGCCAGCGCAACCTTCAATCAATTGTGGAGCATGGTGCATGGTAGGGGCTGTGAGACTCAAGAGAGGCTGCAGGGGCTATGTGCTGTGGGGGGAAAATGTTCCGACGCTTTTGACACGTTTGGCAAATATTTGAGCACGTCTAAAAGCGCGTTACGGACTCGGTGGCGTTCAATATTTTCGAAACGGGAGCACAGCCTCAGATGGACCCAGAACCTCTTGGCCGCCAAAACGGCCACCCTCCATGGCGTGCCAGTGCGTGCTTTGGCCTTGGCTTGTGGCTTAATTAATTTTCGCTTCCGTTAACAATTTTTATGTGGACTTTACTTGGACGCGAGAGAGAGAGAGAGAGAGAGAGCTTATTGCATGCGCTGATTCCGTGTTTATGGCCGCTTTAATTTGCCACTAATACGGGTCCGGGGTCCGTTTGTGGCGGAATTATTTGCCGGATACATGCGATTAGTTTTGCCCAGATTGCAAATAGTTTTTTTCCAGTATTTTCGTTTTGGGCCAAATGCGAAAGCGTGCAACAAGTTAATTACATAATTCACCATCCGCCAACGCATTCATTTCGTGGTGGGGATACTCGTGGGGAGTATGTGATAAGTTATCGCTACACCCACCCACCCGTCCGCAGGGGGTCCAATGGGGGATTTCCGCATTAAACTAAATAAATACAACATTTTCTTTGCCATTTGCCAATTCGAAATTCTGGCTAAATAGGCAACAACAACGTCAACAACAAGACCAGGAAAAACTTGGCCAAAAGAAAAATAAAATAAAATGAAATGAAATAAAATAGAAATAGCAGCAGAAGCAGAAGCAAAGCGACTTACAAAATAAGCTAAAAGTCTTTTGAAGTTTGCCAAAGTAAAAGCGAATCAAAGAGAGTGAGGGGCAGGGGCAACACATGAGAGGGATGAGAGGGATGAGAGGACCAACAGCGCGCGATATAAAGTTGGGGCTTTTTGGCTTTGACGCACGTAGCTCCCGATTTGAAAGTTTGTCGTGTATGCCCCCTCACTCCCTCTCTCCCCCTGGAATCGACAGAACCGTGCCACACAATCCGCAACGACATGCTCCACTCCTCCTTTCGTGTGCTGCATCGCTTTTATTAAGCTTATACATTTTTTATTTAAGACTTTTCACTTTGAGCTGTTTGTGCAAGCCTCGGGGCAGCAACAGCAACAGCAGCAGCAGCAGCGAAAACAAGTCCTGAACGACAGTCATGTGACATTTATTTGAGACGCCCGGCAGAGCATTTCAATTTCCCATATTATTCCCCACCTCCCATTCAGGCCATAAATTATCCGAATAGTTAATGCCGAGAACAAAAAACGTGTGATATATTGTGTGACAATTTCATTAAATGCCCAAGAGCACTCCAGGCCGTGCAGCCACCAGCCACCAGCCACCTGCCCCCGAGATGCACATGCATTTTTTATATCGAATATCAATAAAAACAAAAATGCCACAAACAATATATGTGTATAAAAAGAGGGATATACACGTATATTGCATATTTGATAAACTGCAACAATGTCCCATGCGGCTTGACCGCGCTTTTGAGGCCTCGACGTATTAGGTTTTCGAATATTTTGGCTCGCAAATGTAACGAAATCCATGTGGAGCCGGAGTTTATTTGATTTGATTTGTGGCACGCTCTAAGCCAGAGAGTTTGGCACACTAAAAACTATATATTTCCATGGGGCACAACAAGTTGGAGCGACAGAAATACCCACTATTCGAATGGCAGCAAAGAGAGGCTCGATATTGGGAAATATATGATTTCAGATCTTCTCTAATATTCGCTTCTATCCCAAGGACTTCCCAATTCTACCAAGTTGACAAGTTTCTACTCCCATTTTTCACTCCATCGCCCGCTCTGATAATAAGCTAGTGGCACCACGTAGCGTATGCGTAATATGACTGGTTGTAAGTAGTAAGAGCCAGAGCCTCACGTGCTGCATATAAATTGCTTCGTTTCAACATTTTTCAAAAAGAAAGGAAAACCCCCCAACATAAAAAGAGGAAAACTCAAAGTTTTGTTTGTCCCCAAAGTGAGGTGCAAATGACTTTTGTTCTTTTTGCTCGTTTGCCGCCTGACAACTGTCGAAATAGTCGAGCATCGAGCATCGAGCATCGAGCATCGAAATGACCAAAGCTCTGGCATTGCCTAAACGTGCGTGAGAATGACCAAAAACTGGACACGGACACACAAGTATTTATGGCAGAGAGTGGGATAGAGGGACTACATGTATGTAGATGTGGCCAAAAGGAAATCAATTTCCATATGCAAAACTTTTTTAGTGCACGTGCTGGAGCAGTGGCAGTGGCAGCAGAGAGAGAGAGAGAAAGCAGGGGCAGAGAAATCGAATTTTGTCCATAAAATATTCAAATTGTTCTGTATAAACGACGCATAAACATTCTTTGTGCATGTACCCCCCCACTGACCAGGTGGGGATAGGAGTATTGGAGGTGGCATGCACACACCATTCAATTTTGATCAGGCTCCTGCTGCTGCTCCTTTTTCTCCCTCCATGAATCGCATAAATTTTTATGTTCAAATGCCAAAAGCCGTAGGCTGAGGTCTGGGGGGGACTGGGGACCGTGAGTGAGGTGGGAGGTGAAATTGTTTCTGAGTCTGGGCTCGATCGCTTAATGTGCCCCGCGGCAGAAATTCAATTTGTAGCACATCCGTGGCCGGCAGAGGCAACACAAAAAGGGGCGAGAGAGAAAACTGCAAATGTGAAAAAAGTGCAAATGTCCGACTGTCAGGGACAACCCAAGGAGCAAAAGCAAAGCGAAACGAAACGAAACTGAAGCTGAAACAAAACAACTGAAAAGTCTCCCCTGGGCTATGCACCCGACTCCAACACAAAAGATACGAGGGGACAGAGGCCGGTTGCAGTGGCAGGACCTCTGTGGGGCTGCTTCTGCTTTACTATGCGAGCGATTGATTGAAAATTGATTTCATTATGAACTTGTGATGCATTCAGGCATCCCTCCCCTCCCCCACCCCCTCTCGACACCACACACGAGTATCACTCAACACTCTGACAATCTGAAAGCAACGCCGCACCGTAACCATTGGAGCCATCCAAACGTTCGGCCATCCATCCATTCCCACGGTATCTTCAGTTGATAATTGGATTTCGAATCCCTTTCCGTCTCTTTCACTCTCACTCTCTCTGTCTATCTCTCTGGGAGTCTGGAAGTGTTTTGTGCATTTCCTTTTCAAATTAGTTATGGAATTTTTGTCTGTATTTAAATTTTTGTATCCCCCTTATCGAAATTCGTAGGTCTTAAGGGAGTGGCCAGAAGTGGTGGCAACATCTGCGAGAGAGATCCTGGAAATTAAGCCGCTTATGGCCAGGGCCCTTCGCGTCCCTTTTCTTTTTTAATGCCCAGGCTGCTTCATGTCCCTCGGTCTTGGCCATATTCCGTTTCCGTTTTGGCGGCGCTCCAGCCGCCCGCCCGAATATTACTCAGTCGCCATTTCACTTAAGATTCCGGCTGGCCAAGTGCACTTGTGGCTGTTGTCTGCCGCGTATTTAGCATAAAAGGTAGCGCCATGTCTTCCGCATGGTCTTCGGGGGCTTTTGATGTCTGCCATTGTTGATATTTTGCATCAAAATTCGGACAGGGGTGGGGACGGATCCCAAGCGGAAGTGGCGACATTTTTGGATGTCACTCGGTATTTTGAGGTCGCCGCAAAGTGCGCAGCGAAATTTGCATAATTCCAGCAATAGAACGGGGATGGAAAGGGAGGAAATGCGGTCTGGGATGGATGCCCCGTCTCGGGTTGCTATGCAAATGAGAACAAGATGCGTGTGCCATTTGGTGGGGCCGTCATCGTGCGTCAGATCCCTCTAAATATGATTTGAGTTCCCGGGTTAAAGTGATATCCAAGTGGGCGACGGCTGGTGACAAGCCCATATCACAACACACACAAACACAATTCGAGACGCTGAGCAATGACTAGCCCGAGGAGCCGGAAAGGCCCCACACAGAGGGAGAAGGACGAGCTGGATTGCGTGACCGGCGATGCCAGGGAGGAGCAAATATCCCGGATACCCCGCGAGCTGGACAACTTCTGGCGCATGGACCCGCGCTTTCCCACTGGCCTGCACAACGGCCACGCCTGCCTCGGCTCGAATCTTATAAACAAATCGCTGGGCTTCAGCGACTACGAGCGGCGGGTGCTCTCCATCCACGGCATGCTGCCGGTGGCGGTGCGCACCATGGACGAGCAGGTGGTCGCCTGCAAGATGGTGCTCGACCAGATGACCACCCGCACGCAGAAGTACATGTATCTGCACAATCTTGAGTGCACCAATCGGCGGCTTTTCTACCGCCTGCTGCAGAGCGACTGGGACACCTATATGCCCGTGCTGGACAGCTCGCATTCGGACTTTCTGATCAAGAACTTCAGCCTGTTTTACCATCGTCCCCAGGGCATGTACATAACAATCAAGGATCTGGGTCACGTGGGTCAGGTGCTCAGGAATTGGCCCCGTCGCGCCGTTCGCTGTGTGCTGGTCACCAACGGCGCTTGCCTTCTCAGCGTCGGCGACTTCGGGATCAATGCAATGGCCAATATAATGTCCAAGCTACATCAGAACGTCGTCTTGGGGGGCATTCATCCGGACTTCTGTCTGCCCCTGGTGCTGGACGTGGGCACCGACAACGAGGACCTGCTCCAGGATCCCCTCTACATGGGTCTGCGGGAGCATCGTACGTCCCGCTCAAACTTCCACGCGCTCTTCGACGAATTCGCCCTCTCCGTGCTGCAGCAGTTCGGCCCTCGGACCATCATCTTGTGCAAGAACTTTGACGCCCACAATGCCATCCACCAGCTGAAGAAGTATAGAGATCTGCAGTGCTTGGTGGACATAGAATTCCAGTGCCAGGGGGCCTGCGGTCTGTCCGGCGTGATTGTGGCTAATCGCCTAAAGAGAATGGAGTTCAAGAGCAACACGTTCCTATTCTACGGCACCAATCCCATGAACATTGGCATGGCCCGCCTCTGCCTCGTCTTTTTCAAGCAGGAAGGCCTCATCGAGGACGCAGCCCATCAGCGCATCTGGTTCTTCGATGAAAAGGGACTGGTTGTGGGCAATCGACAAGGCCCGCACATACCAGAGGTGCTGCAGGAGTTTGTCAATTATGGAGATCCGACCGATGATCTGGCGATGGCAATCGACCTGATCCGACCCAATGTCCTGGTCGGTGCCGGCTCCCAGCCAAATGCCTTCACCAAGGACGTACTTCGCGCCATGGAGCGGAGCGCCGAGCAGCCCATCATCTTTGCCATGTCGCGGCCCATCGAAAATGCCGAGTGTTCCGCAGAGGATGCCTTCACCTACACCAAGGGTCGCTGCATCTTCATCTCGGGCTCGTCGATTCCGCGTGTGAAGTATGCCAACAAATGGTATCAGCCGGGACGCAGCAACAGCGTCTACCTTCAGCCGGGCATTTCGCAGGGCATCCTGCTCTCGGGGATGAACAACGTGCCGGATGAGACCTTCCTTGTGGCCGCCGAGCGCCTGGCCTGCCTCGTCTGGCCAGACGACCTGGCCCAGCGCAATGTCTATCCACCGATGCGGAAGGTCCAGTGCATCAATCAGCGCATCGCCGAAGCCGTATTCGCCTACGCCTTCCGGAAGGGCCTGGCCACGCTCTTTCCGGAGCCGGACAATCCCACCGAGTACATCAAGAGAAACGCGTACGACTCCAGCTATCGGACGGTGGCCAGCAAAGTGTACTGCATGGAGGAGAGTGTAATTGCCACAACCGAATCCCAGAAGTACTACAAGCACAAAATATAGATCGAGCAAACGGCTGTATGCCTACAATGAAAGAGTCGGAAAATTGGGGGCAAATTGCATGGCATATCATATCTAATTACAGTTGTTTGGCTCGGACTCGGGCGGGGATCAGGATCTGGTCTATGGTTCTGCATATTGATTTCAACTTCGAAGCGTACAAGTGCCCAGAGCCCTGTGGCAGTGGCAGTGGCAGTGGCAGCCAGCGGGCAATTAATTGCATGCAATTTTCATGTGTCAACTCCTGCTGTGGGTCAGAGGGTATGTGTAGAGTGGGGGTGGCTGGAAAAGTCTCCAGCGGGCACACGCACAAGTGCTGAATGGGACACTAATATACAAAATGGTAGACATTTCCACTATGAAATACCCTGTACTTTGCAACCATCAAAACTAGCCGAATATTACGTTTGATCCCTATGAATTTTGGAATCAATGAATTCCATAATTCATCCATATATGTGCCCCTTAATTTGTGGCTTAAGAGAGGCTTCCTTCTGCCTGCTGTACCCCACTTGTACTGGGTACAATATTGAAACAACCACCATGAAATGCCATAAAACAAAGCCACAACAAAAATGCAGACAAATTAAATTGCATGAGTGTTTGATTGTGTTTGAATGTCTGGCAGTGACAGGTGTGTGTGTGTGTGTGTGTGTGTGTGTGCATCTGTGCGGGAGAACATGATATTTCATTTATCAAATATGGAAAATGAAATGCATACGGCATTGTGTCGGGTTTTTGTCTGTCATATTGAATTATTTGCTTAGTTTCAGCTGCTGCTGCTGCATGCCTGCCATTTAGACCATCGATCGTTTATCGGCACTGGCGGCAACCAAATTAATAGTGAGTTTCCAGGATATGTAACACGAATTTTCATTAGCCTCGAATTGAATGAGCAGCCGCCACCAGAGCTTGTCCTTTTCATCTTGCAAATAACCATACGTTCGAGAGCTTTTGTTTAAAAATACCTCGCATCTGCTTTTATTAGGAGGCATGTATCTGTGCAAGAGCAGAGCCCACCCCCCACTATGCTGGACCCCAGGAGATAACTTCGTAACCAATTGTTTTCAGGCTCTGTGCATCAATATCATGGTCGGACAGTTCCCGGATCACGCTGGCCACGTTCTTTGAGCTCTGAAATGGACACATAGATATGCATATATGTACATGTACATATATATGTATAACCAGCTACCAGCTTACCATAGCTGCCTCCACCATTGTTTTGAACTGTGGACTCCGCAGGGCCTCGTAGAACTTTGCGAATAGGGGACTGCGCTGGCGCTTCTCACCGATGAGCGCCACAAAGCGGTCACGAGGCAGATGCGTCAGTAGATCCCGGACAAAGCTGATAAACGAACCCAGTGATTCCCCTTCAGATGATGGCTGCTGCATGAGCACTAGAATCACCTCCTCGCTGGTGTCCCATCGAGAGCCCTGGACATTGTACACACTCCGACGCTGGATACGATTCGTGTGGCGTTGCGAGTATACGGGCCAAAAGCGGATTTTCGACCTGGCAGCAGTATCGTTGAGGTGCACAAAGTTGATTACCTTCACGACCTCCGGCAGGGCCTCAGCGTGCTGCTGTAATCGCTTGAAGTCGGAGCTCCGTAGAAATTTGACCGCCTTGCGAAAGCCCGAGTCGGTGATCAAGTGCTCCGCCACCAGCTCATCGATGGTGGCACTTGGTATGAGCTTCGTAAAGTCCCGCAGTTCGTTTATCAGCTCCGGTGAGTATCGGACTTGTCTGTGATTCCGATGGGGATGGTGGCACTCGGCCGAGGCCAGCACTAGTCCGAGGAGCAGCAAATGAAACATTTTCCTCAGCCTTAATTCAACGCAGTTTTTGCACTGATTTGCTCTTCGAACAACTGTTTTTACTCCGCGTGATTTTGCTTTGGGCGGCGACACTTTTGCTCCCGCATGCTGCGGAGAATTTTACTTGTGACCCATTTACTGCTACACAAATTACTCTCACAGGGGGAGCATATAGTGTGCGGGGAAAATATGTCAAGCAGGGCAGCAAACGGCTACGGCAATGATGGCAGTCCTTGGTTATTGCGGGGAGAAATAATATATGCCCTTCTAGCTATTGTACACACTTGACTCTCGCCCCCTGACATTGAAATTGCCGCTGATGTTTCACTGTTTCCATTTCAAGGGTAACGAAACGTCGATCCGCTGCAGCGGCCTTTCCTTATCTCGAAACGGCTGTCGCTCTCGCGCTCTTTTCTTCTCTTCCTCTCTTCTTCGGTGTTTTGTGCACAGTAACATCGACAGGCGCCCACAGCGTATATTAGAGGCAGTGCCGCTCTCCGTGTAGCTCTCTTCTTTTATGTCACACATGCATACACACACACATATGACTTCCGTACCGAACAACAGCATATATAAGCATGTATAACATGCCTGGGCAGAAACTGCAGCAACAGCTAAAAATTCGACTTCGATTACAGTCGCGTCCCTCAAAATTGCCCGCACCCATAAAATAATGAAACTCAAACTTTCGTTTTTGCTTATTAAAGAATCTTATCACATTTATTTACTGCATTTTCTTTTTATTTGTTTACAGCTAATTTGTTTTTGTTTTAGTTTTATTTCATTGAATTATTCTGTTTTTTCGGGAATATTTAATAGCTCATGAATCATCAATTTGCGTTTTCTTTTTTTCAAATGGTTCGATTGAACCCCATTCGAATTTATGCAATTTAAGCGCAAATTCTTGTTTATTGTTTGGATACTTTGTAAAAGTTGTTTATCTATTTATGTATGTATGTATTTGTTGGCGTGTGTGTGTGTTTGTTTGTTTGATTGTGTATGTATATAAACTGTGAATATTTTATTATTAATTATTACTATTTTTACAATAAATTGTGTATTAAGTACTCAATTAATATTAACTTCCATCCTGAATTGCCATCATGGCGATTTAATTCTGTTTTCCGTCAGTTTTTCTCTTGTTTTCAATATTCTTTTTACTCAACATCATGTCATGTGATTGTCATACAAAACATTTCACATAATCTTCAAATTATTTACAATAAATCCTCGAACAAAAATCTACCGAAGGCAACAAAAAAATCATTTGATTCATTAAAGTTAGAAGCTCAGAGCATTAGTAGCTTTTAAATATTTTCCATAGTTTTTTGTTTTAGTATGCTATTTTAGTATGCAACGATAAAATGTTGGTTATGTTATTGCTATTTTTCGGTTGGGAAACATTAAAAATTTTGCTGAGAAAATCTTTAGAAAAATATTGTTTGTGTGAGTGTCCTTCTGTGTGTGTGTGTAAGATAATGGATTAGTTATCCTTTCATTTTGTTTTCCTATACGCGCACCTCTTCGGGCTTACTGTTTTGTGAAGCGTTTAGTTTTTCCATGGTTTATGCAGTTTGAAACTATTTTCCTCAAATTTTCTTCCTCCTGCCGCCTCATAGCCATAAATACATAATGTGTCCTACTAAATGCATTTGAGTCGTGTGTCAGAGTTACCTTGTGGCTACTGTAAAACGTACGAGTACTTAACTACAGCTAGGGGTTAAGTAATCTCATGAGCATGTTGGTCTCAATGCCAGTAACCTTATGTACGATATCTATGTATGTAAGTATGTATGTAAGTACTAGACGTTACCTAGATGTTAATATATAACTATATGTATTGCTTATCGTAAACATTAGGCCAACGCACAATCTATACAAGAGCGAGTTAATGCCAAATAGCGAATCGTTCAAAACCAAAATCAAATCGTAGAAACGTCAAATCAATGCCTGATTAGTTATCTTAACGACTAAAGCAGTTCTACTATATACAACATTCAACATAATCCACTATCCTCTATCCTTAATCCCTTACCTTTTCCCTTACGTTTCTGCTGTGCGTCCTGGATTCTGTTTATTTTGTGTGTGTTTGGCTATGGTATAAGTTGGTTCCGTACTTGTCTATGACCTAAACATTGGGCAGCTATTCAAGAACATACATATACATTTATATATAGTAATGTTTAGGTATATCTTAGTCTATGTTTAGTTAAACAAATATTGCTAAGTAATATACAAATTCGTTTAAGATCTTCCCAACCCCAAAAACCCAAAATGGCCAAGCGACGAGTTCTCGAAAACATAACTAAATGGAAATCAATGCTAAAAGTGATCATCATCATCATCGTCATGTGAACTATGTATGTATATACTTGTCAGATTCTCACTTTAGGTGGTCTGTATCCTTAACCTTAGCTCGAAATAGATATAGAGATTCTCTGTGTCGTAGAGTGTGTTCTGTGTGTGTGTGTGTGTGAGTGTGTGTAAAACCGTAATTTCCATTTCATTTATGGCAGGATCCTTTTGCTAGTAACTTTTATCGTTTACTCCATCTTTGTATATCAGTTAGTTAATGTCGAAATCAATCAATGTTTGACGCTGACAACATCTCAAAACGAACGGAAACGGAAATGCAAACGTAACTCAAAGTGTTGTAAAAGAAAACTCATTGAAATTATCCGAAATATTGTCGTTGCTAAAAGCTTAAAAATTTCAGTCTTTGTAGTTGGTTTCTGCTCGGCTCTTGTCACATGATTTTTCCCATCCTGGCATCCTCTCCGTCTCCTTCTGCTTACTTTGTTTGGTTTTGCTTCATCTCCACTCCAACTGAAACAACACACATGCACCAACAGAACCAGGAATTAAATCGGGCAAATATATATATATATAGTGTTGGGGCATTTAGGAACCGGTTAGGCGGCACCCTCAGCCCTTTATGGGCTCCAATTGTGGGTTGTCTTACATCTCCACTCAACTTACATTTACATTTTAACTAGAAACTTTAGAAACGAGCAAATATGGCAAGCCCGAACACGAAAATGTACAGCTTGTGGTGGGAGGGCGGCACGCCCCCCTCCGACGATGACGACGACAAGAACTCAGAGCTGTATAAGTACTCTGTGGAGCAGGAACATCGGCAGCAGTCCAGAGGGTAATGGACAAAGGACATTTTTGGTTAGGGTTTTACACTTAAAGGAAAATAGTTTGAAATTTTAGGGAATTTCGTTTTAAAAACGGAAAATGTTTTGCTCTTTGAAAATATTTCACATTTGTCAGCAAATGGTTTTCTATTTTGAAACAATACACTCTTCAACCAAGGCAGAAATCCACATTGGAATGACAGAAACTGTGTGCATTGCAGGACATGTAAAAACAGAGATTTTAAAACTAAAATTCCAAACTATTTTCATTTATTTTTCGACTGTGCTACTGTGAATGATGATATGATGGTGGTTTGAGAGGTGGTGGTGGTGGTGGTGATGGTGGTTTTGGTGTTAGTGTGGGTTCTGTTTCTCTGGGGCACTCGTGTACTCACTTCTGGGTCAGACCAGGGCATCGTTGCTGAACACATCGTTAACGTGTTTGCCATTGCTGCCGACGGATCCTGCCTTGTCCTTGAGGCCGCATTGCTACAACGAGAGGAAAGGGAGAGAAATTAGTTCTCTCTGCGCATAATATTTGCCAGCAAATTAGAAAATAATTAAAGCTCAAAAAGGAGCCCCCAGGCCGACCCGCACCTGTCGCTGAAAAATTAATTAAAACAATTAACGGCAGATGGTGCGGTGCCCGCCCCCGTGGCAATTACCGAAATACTCGTATAATTTTGGATTTCTCAAGAAATTATGCTACACCCACCTCCTGCTTGGCCTGCCATTGTTTCATGGCCGATTTGTATTTCTCGAATTCGTTGCACCAATGCGAGTAGATCTTCTGGTAGTCCTGCTTCTGCGACGGTGGCGAGCATCTGTGGGGAGAGAGAGAGAGAGAAGAAGGGAGGGAGGGAGGAGTATACGTTATTGACAGTTCTAAACTCCTGGCCAAACTCCTAATTGCGACGCCACGCCTGGAGCTGGCGACTCACCTGTGCGCGTCCACGGTTACCCCGTAGCTGCAGAGCAGGGTGCCATCCAAGTAGCTATCATAGCGGCCGCCGTCGCCCTCATTAACCGCCAGCAGGACCAGGCCGCCCTCGTTCGTTTCAATGTATTTGGTGGGCGTGTAGCGTACCTCATAGCTGCCAGACAGGGAAGTAAAGATAAAGATAAAGATAAAGAGAGGAAGAGGAAGAGGGAGAGATGGTTAGAGAGAGCGGGAGACTTTCCATTTTCCAACCTCGGGAACGCATTGAAAACGCACAATAAAAATCAATATAGACTGTGTGTGTGCCAGACAGCGACTTTTGTCGCTTTGGCAGAAGAAAGTTGAAAGTTTTTCCATTACTCGAAGACCCACAGGGGCAGGGGCAGGGGCAGGAGCAGGGGGTTGGCTGCAGTACTCGGAGTCGAAGCATCCCCAGTCAAATAAGCGTAAACGCCAAAAAGCAGACTTGGAGAGCATTTTAAAGTGTCAATTTACCGCAGCATTGGCAGCAGCCAGGACTAAGTGAGATGAAGCGAAGTTTCGCTTACACTTTTCCCCCGGATTTCATTATTTGCTTTCAATTTTTCAGGAGATTCAAAGAGATAGATTCGAGAGGTAGATATAGACACTTACCGTCCCTTCTCGGTGGAGTGATGATACCATCGCGTCTGCTTCTTCCTCAGCACCTCTGGCATCTTGACGAAGCACGAGAGGTGCAGGGTCTGGCCGTAGGAGGAGGTGACGCGCTTGCGGAGCACACTCGTATCGCAGATGCCCGACGTCTCGTTGGCCACGTCCTGGAGGAGTCCGAGCTGGTAGGGCCGGCAGGCATTCACCTCCTGGTCCCAGCCGCAGTACGGATCGGCCACACAGCGGAAGCAGCTGTCGTAGCGGCGGGCGCACATGGCAATGTCGATCTGCTTCACCTGGTGATCGGTGGCCAGGTAGAGGGAGCCCGTCTTCTGGCTGAGGATCAGCTCGCGAATGGGTTCGTTGTGCGGCGAGGCCTCGAAGATGTCGATTAGATTCGAGTGGCGCTGGCCGTAGTGCATGAACTGGACTATCTTGTAGATTTGCCCCGAGCTCGTGGCCACAAAGTACACCAGAAACTCCTGGTTCAGCTTGTCGATGCGTATCCTAGGGCGCAGATACAATACAAAGAGAAAACCACGTTAGCACAGGGGAAAAAAACCAGGGACCCACATCGGTGGCAAGAGCTTAACTAAAAACACATCCTGCGGCACATTGTTCACAAGTTCCGGCCAAGTCAAAACATTTCTCGCTGCCAGAACTACGTTGTCTGTCTATGTCTCTGTCTCCAGGCTACGAACTCAGAGAGGGAACAAATGTCAACAGGGATACAATCTACAGTGTGGCTGTGGCTGTGGCAGTGGCAGTGGCTGTGGCTGCCTGCCAAGGAGACTTGCAACGGACGACAACTGGCAGCGCTAATGAATATAATTTTCACTTACTTGTCCACCACCAGCTTGGTGAGTATTATGTCTCGCTTGAAGAAGACCGGATTGCCAAATTCATGATCGACCGCCTTGTCCATTAGCGGATGTTTACGTATGAAATTCAACACGGAGTCCGGCAGTGTGGCGGTGTCGTTGTGGCATGTGCCCGGACGTGGCTCCGGCACTTTCTGGTTGAGTACGGGCAGCCAGGCGCTGTTTGAGCTGGCCTGCTCCTTGAATTTTCCTGAGTGGATGGAGAAAGCGAAAAAGACAGAGAGAGAGGGAAAGAGGGAAAGAGGGAGGGAGAGAGCAATGCATCAGTATGGAGCCGGGGAGTTTTGCTACACTTAATTTATGTGTGTCAGTGCGAGTGTTTTTGCGGCAAGAGCTGATTTGTGGCACTCTCCACACTCACGAGCGGCAAAAAATAAAAATAAAATACATTTTAACCATCATATACTGGCCTTCAATGTGGCTTCAAGTGTGGCCGTTGCATAATCGTTTCTTTCCATAATTAATTGCTGTGGCTTTCCCACATTTTTCCCTGCGCACTCAGCGCCCTGTCTGTCTATCTGTAGCTGTGTGTGTGTGTGTGGTGTATGTCTGTGCCACATGCCCGCAAACTTTCCGTAATGAATTTTAAGTGTATGCCAGATTTTTTACTCCACTTGCCCTGTGGCATTCTGTGTCTGCCGCTGTCTGCCCGATTGTCTGCCTGTCAGTCTTGGCACAGCTCCATACACATGCACACCGCACAACTTTATGGTGTTAATGAACTTTTTAAAAGCATCTAGCAGATGTCGATATATCGACTAAAAGATACCCGCTAAAACCCGAACAATCTGCATTCTCAGAGAAGAGATAATACGAACAACATTTCGAAGGGATACCCTTTTATTCTACACCTACCTACAGGGTATACAAATGTTAACCCTACACATATGAAAAACCGGGAAGGAAAGAAATTCAAGACGGATCTGATGTCCTGGGACCCACAAGGGCAGAGGCAGGAGAACTCTAGAGGAAAGGTACGCGTAGCTCTCCCATCAATTCAATGCGCGCCATTTAACGCTCAAATTCCAGGGCAAAGGACAAGGGCCAGAACCAGGACCAGGACTCCACCTGTGCGCGTAATTCCATCCGCAGTTGTTCCAAGAAAAAAAACCCCCATAAGAATTATGGTCCATGCAATAAATCAGAAAAGCACACACACATATCCCCTGTATCCCCGGACTCACCTTCGAAGGCCGCATTTATGTCCCTGATGTCATAGCTACAGACAGCGGAACCAATCAGACCGTTAGTGTTCGTCGTGAAGGTGGCATAGAACTTGCTGTCGTCGCTGGGCATCTTGTAGACCGACTGGATCTCGTTGAAGTAGAAGGGGAACTCGCTGGAGATGCTGCAGTTCATGCGGGCCTTCAGATACGTGGCCCAGTTCTGGCTGATCATGTACTTGCCGCCGCGATCGTTCTTGCAGACGCGTGCCACGCGGGAGTAGACCTCCTTGCCGCAGTTGATGTACTCTACGGCATGTTCGCGGAAGAAGAAGTACACGAACTCGCCAATCTCAAAGGAGCCCACAAAGTTGGGTTCTGCAAAGGGAGAGGGTTGGGTTTTGTTCGTTAGTTTGTGCTGTGTGAAAGGGTCTTTCTGTTCAACTCACTGTCCAGTAGCTTGGAGTCATATTTCACCGTTCGCTTGAAGTTTGCCTCCTTGCGGCCGTTGGTCAGATTGTAGAGATCCGAGCGGAATATAACCGAATCGGCCTTGGTGAATTCAGCATTGGTGCCGGCGTACTGAATGTCGGGGGAGAGGGGAGATGTACAAGAGAGTATAAGGATATGGATGGTAATGTCTTGGTTAAGGCCTCGACATCACGCATACGCCCAGTGCGCCGTGGCTGGGCACGCACGCACACAATTACGCATAAAGTGTACGCACGTGCCTCTCTCTTCTATTGCTCGCTCTAATTTAATTTCAGCTGCTTTATTGCTGCTACTGTTGCTGCCTCTTTTTGCTTTAAAATTTCCTTTCCTCTGCCTTCAACACACACAACTTTTGCGTCGACTTCCCTGCCTGTTCTCCCCCGTATACCCCCTACTTTACTTTACTTTTGTAATTTTATTACAATTGACATTTTTCTTTTTATTTCTCCCTTCCTCTGGCTCCCTTTTCGGTTTCTTTTTCTTTTGCTCCCTTCGTTTCACTTCCGTTTCGAGGGGGGGGGGGGGACCCTGAACTTACCAGCGCGGGCAAACCAAAGGGATTTCCGTTCTCCACATAGACGGCGGTTGAGTTGTCAGCGGGATCGTAGGGACACTTGCCAATGCCCAGGCCGACGCCGGGCACGTACTGGGATCTGGGTAAATGTGTTAAGTTTGCCTAAGGGTTGCGATTCGGGTTCGTTTTCGGTGGGGCGTTCGCATTGGGGAGGGGGTGGAGAGAGAGAGAGAGAGAGAAGAAAGAATCGCATTAGTTGACTTTAATTTTGGGCACAAGACGACGACTGCCTTCAAACTTGACTGACATTCACAATTAGTCAGTCAGTCAGTCGCACAATCCTTTCCCCTCGTATACTCACATTTATAACGTAATCCTTGGGATTGTGGGCATTCGTGCCGCACACATAGAGTCGATGCCCGTTGAAGTTCATTGGCTGGATGACGCGTATGTGATTGCGGCACTCCACCTTCTTGTCCGGTTGCCATTTGATAGATTTTTAGTGTAATTGTAGTACGTATAAATGTTGGAAAATCAAAGTTTTAAGGGAAATCAAAAATTGAAGATGCAAATGGAAATGGAAATGGGAAATGGCAAAGGCCGTGTCATGAGTACAGGTCACAATTTCGTACATGCTTAGGTCAGAGGATAATACTATATCGTACGGGTATTCATATTTATGCAAGGCCTTATGAATGGCATTCAGACTCACCTCCCGCTTCCCCTTGGACACGCAGTTCAGAATGTCGGAGCCGGTGGGTTCCAGGATGAGGACATCGCGCTGTAAAACAAATCGAACCAGGGTGAAATTTCTGTCTCCAATGTTTATTGAAAGCGTGCTGGAATGCCATGTTGCGGCGGTGGCACGCAGCACTGTGTTTTCTTTTGGTCGCACAAACATTCTTCTTGTCTCCACACTGAGGGAAAGCGCTTAGAAATGTATTAGCTTGATTACAACTAATAGAAATATTGAACAAGCCCTTTCAAGGCTATTTCCAGGCATTCTTCCAGTGTTCAGTATCTGTGTTTGTCTATTTTTCTACTTCCCTTTCTTTCAGTGTACTGTATCTGTGCTTGTCTAGCTTTGTACGTATCTCACGTTGAGCATTTGTTTATTTAATTCGTTTTTTTTTTTTTTTGTCCGACAGCACATTTGATTCGGCAATGAATCTCCCTTTCCAGCGAGTGATTCAATAAATTTTGAAACCATTTGAGCAAAATTCCTTGCCAAAGTGAAAGCCACAAATCAATGGAAGAGAGAAGTGTGGAGAAAGAGGAAAAGGAAAAGCCATCGACTGACAATTTTTATGCTTGACATATAGACACAATATCCGGTGCCTGCTGGATGGATGCACTTTCCCACTTTCCACTTGCACTTGCCTCGGCCATCGCCGGCGAGAGAGTGTCAGTCCTTTGGGGCGGAGGCGGGCCTCGACTTGAAATGGAATGGAATTCCTTCGGCGACCCGCTCAGAAGTCAGCACAAATAATTGCTGTTAAAAGCATTTGCTCCTGCCTCCTGCCTCCTGCCAGCTGGTCACGAGATGTCTCCGGAGGAGTAGGAGCCATGGCCCTAGATTGCAAAAAAAACTCAACTCAACGTAAAACGCTTGAACGGACAGAGGCGGATATTGACAGTTGAAGATGGAATCATTAAAGTGCAATTGTGTGCTGTCACAGGACGACGCTGAAAATGCTTTCCCCGAGACACTTAGAGAAGGACTCTTACCTCGCATATCGATTGGCTTATGTTGCGCAGATTCAGCCGAAAGATCCGATCCCTGCAGGAGAACAGAAAAAAGATACAAATGATTAGTCAGGTAAATGATTAAAGAGGCAAACTTTGTCGCAGCACAGGACACATTCGACACTCGACACACGACACACGACCTAATCCCCGACTCGTGGCATCATCCGACCAGACGATAGGTTAATGCCACACCAGTTGCCACCTGTCTGGGTCGGGGCAGAGGTTGCGGATGTCAATGTCTTTTTATTTTGAAAAATTGCCAAGCCAGAAGCTGGTAGATGCACCTGCTGTGCGGCCTGTCAAGCCCTGCCAGCGTACTTATTGCAGTCACTGTGCCTTGATTGATTGATATGTCGAATGTCGCAATATTGCGTGTCCATATTCCAGAAGAGGCTCAACTTCGAGCGGCAGAGGCAGCGACAGAGGCAGCGGTTGTGGAAATGGAAATGGCTGCGGCATCGCCACTTTCCGGCCACTAGAAACTTCTGGCGGCGACCAGGGAAAAAACAAAAGGAACGCACGTTCGGACGGAAAAGGGGTGGAGTGTAGGGCGTGTTTTATGTAGTTGGTGGCAGAGTTTTTGGGTAGCGCTTTCCCCCGACAACTCAGAAACCATTAATCTTCATTTCCATGGCCAGCCAAGGGGCAACGTGGCATGGGGAATGGTGGATGGGGTGTGAGTCCTAGGAGCCCGGGTAACAATCGCTGATGATGCCAACGCCACCGACGACGAGTGCTGCCAGCTGTGGCTGCTCCTGCTCCTGCTCCTGGGGTAAGCGGCATTCGAGTCAAGTGGTAATTTTGGTTACTTTGTTTGCCAGCTCCAGAGGTTCCAGAGGTTCCCCGTCCCCTTTCCATAACCCTTAGCAACCGCAACCGTTAAAATGCGGCACTGCTCAACTTACCACAGACAAATGAGCAGACGAGGAGCCAGCCCCGTTGTCAAATTGCAGACCATGCCCCACACTTTGCTCCATGCACCCTCCACCCGTTCGGGCATTAATTCATAATTATGTATGCCGACAGCGTGGCCGCGTGGGTCTCTGCTCCCTGGTCCCTGGCTAAAATATGAATGAAATATGCACCCCTAAATGCGTTGAGGCTACCAAGTAGGCAGCCATCTCGCCCGTCTCAACCCACCACATCACATCTTCCACACCGGAACTTTCTAATTATTCTAGGGAGGGAGGGTTTTCCCCATTTTCTGGAGGAAATCTGTCCACTTACATGGCGCCCACATAGAGGGCATTGTTGCGCTCATCCATATAGAAGGTTCTGTAGTGCAGCGGTCCGCAGCTAAAGTCTTTGACGTGATCTGTAAAGAGCAAACGGGAGAGAGAGGGTCATTAAGTATACGCACTGTATTCGGTTCATTGATTTAAAGAAATCGAGAGTGAGCCCGAAGTTAATTAAAGCTTAATGAAACTGTCAGCAGCAGTTAAGCAGCAACTAATTAAACTATTATAATTTAGCACACACACAAAGTTAATTTATGGAAGGCTGGGGGGAGAGTCAGTGCCAAAAAGGAAGCACACAACACAAAAGCCTTGGCCCAGGGTCCTGTTCCCTGTCCCCTGTCTCCTGTCCCTGCCCTTGCATATTTGACACTGACAGTGTCACGTAGCCTCTACCCAGATATGTCACGTGCTGAGGCCCAGGATCCAGACACAGCCCAAAGGCAGTGACAGAGACAAAGAGACAGCCCCAACCGTGCAGTGGAGTCGATCCCTGCTCCAGTTCGTGAGTCGCAAAAAGTTGCACCGCTGTCAATGTCATTAACAAAAGATTGAGGCATTTAGCTGAAATTTTTACGACATTAAGTTGTCAACTAATTTGGCACAATTAGTAAAACAACACACAAAAATACTCCAGCACACCCGCGCACAAAAGGCAAGGACGAACGGGGCCGGGCCGGACAGGACAGGACAGGACAGGACAGGACAACTTTGTTTTTTTATTTGAAGCAAAGCCCAAGCAAATCCTTTGATGGCATCGCTAAGAGTCATTTGTGTTGACTTCTCCACTTTCCTTTTGTCCCGGTCATTGGTCATTGACGACGACGACGACCCTTAATGGGCTGGGAACAACAATAGCAGTAACAAAAGTGATTTCCATAAGAATACCTAATGAATGATATACTCGGGCACAGACTGTGTCACAGTCAAGTTTTTCAGCCTTTAACCTTATGCAAATGAATGCAAAGTTGGCCAAGAGTTTTGGGTTTATTTCCCTTGAATTATTTTTCGATTTCTTTTGCAATGGCTTTCTCCAAATTCTATTTTGCCGTACAACAGCGGCTACATCTGTCCCAGAACCAGAACACTGCCAATAAGAGTCGACACCACCATGATATCGTCCGACCTCCCGTTACAACCGTTCTGGACGCCAAAAATAACAAGGTATATATCCTTTTGTTTCGATTCAATACTTCCTTAATTTTTTTGTTGACAGGGTCTGAATTTCACCATTGAAGAGCGGCAGAGCCTGCAGGTGCACGGCCTGTTTCCAGCGGCGTTCCGCACCATGCAGGAGCAGGTGTTCGCCGTTGCGGCAAACTTCCATGCGCGTGCCACGAAAATTGGACGGTACCGCTACCTGAGATCCCTGCGAAAGCGGCACGAGCGCTTGTACTTCCGCTTCCTGTCAGAGCACCTCGAGGACGTGCTGCCCGTGATCTACACACCCACCGTGGGCGTGGCCTGCACCATATTCGGTATGATATACCGGGGTCCCATGGGCTTGTATGTGACCAAGAATGATCGCGGCCATGTGGCCGAGGTGTTGAGAAATTGGCCAGAGCCCGACATCAAGGCGGTGTGCGTGACGGATGGCGAACGCATCCTGGGCCTGGGAGACCTCGGAGCCAATGGGATGGGCATCACTGTCGGAAAGCTGGAGCTCTACACGGCCCTCAGCTGCGTGCCGCCGCACCACCTGCTGCCCGTCTGCCTGGACGTGGGGACCAACAACGAGGAGCTGCTGGCCGATCCCATGTACATTGGGACGCGAGATAAGCGGCTGAGGGGCAAGAAGTACGATGAGCTCGTGGACGAGTTCATGCAGGCTGTCGTCCAGACCTGGGGTCGCAGAACCCTCATCCACTTCGAGGACTTTGCCACGCCAAACGCCTTCAAGCTCATAGAGCGGTACCAGCACAAATACTGCTGCTTCAACGACGACATTCAGGGCACGGCTGCTGTGGGACTGGCCGGCCTCCTGGCCGTCGAGCGGGTCACCAAGAAGAAGTTGGACAAACACGTTATCGTCTTCGCCGGTGCGGGCAGTGCCGCAATGGGCGTGGCGGGGCTCCTGGTCAAGGAGCTAAAGTCCCGAAAGCTGGACGAGAAGCAAATCGCAAAGAACATTTACGTATTCGATCAGAATGGTCTGATTGTGAAGAGCAGAACGGATGTGGCGCCGCCCATTCAACCGTACGTCAAGGACATGCCCCACATCAAAGCTTTGGACGAGGTTGTGGAGAAGGTGAAGCCGTCTATCCTGATAGGTGCCACCAGCATGACGGGACTCTTCTCGGAGAAGATCCTGCGGTGCATGGCCGCCAATAACGAGCGCCCCGCCATCTTTGCCTTCTCCAATCCCACCAGCAAGGCGGAGTGCACGGCCGAGCAAGCCTACAACTTCACAGAGGTGAATTCTCAGTAGATTTGACTATATTCGGGGCTCTTGAATGTCCTCCCCTCTCCATAGGGTCGCGCCCTGTTCTCGGCGGGGTCTCCTTTTCCGCCTGTGACGGTCAATGGTAAACGCTTAACGCCCGGACAGGCCAACAACTGCTTCGCCTTTCCCGGCATTGGACTGGGGGCGATGGCCGCCTACGCCAAGACCATACCCGACGAGATCTTCCTGGTGGCCGCCCACACTTTGGCGGGCTATCCCGAGGAGGAGGCGATGGCGAGCGGCAGGATCTACCCAAAGGCGACAGAGGCCAAAGATGTGGCCCTCACCATTGCCGTGGCCGTGGCCCAATATCTGTTTGACAATGGTAAGCTCCATCCGATCTATGTAAAGAGGTCTCCGTTCTCATATATCATCCCCCAGACTTGGCCCAAGTTTATCCAGTGCCGGAGAATGTGTGCGAGTTTATTGTGGCCAATCTCTACGAGCTCTGCAATGGAGATTCGTTGGTGGTGCCGTGGAAGTACCCGGATCTGCCCACAGTTCCGTTCACCGAAGGCTACAACATACCACCGAAAGATATCAAGATTTCCTTCTAATCTCTGTAATGCTCCATATAAGCAGGCGTTTTCTTTTGGAGATCGATCACCATTGGGAATGGGTTTTTGTATTCGATATTAAAAATTCTCTGTTGAGATTCAAAGACATATCTAATGACGTTTTCCAAGCTGCGTCCTTTGCCTCGGCTAGTTTCACACCTCAGACCGCTTGGGCGAATGTTGCAGGTGCACAACGATGCCAGCAGTCACGTGGTGCGACCAGATTGGCACACCATCACGGACGGTCGATGGAACAAGGTGAGTGAATGAAAGGGAAAGTGGAAGGAAAGCCTCCAGAATCTGATACGCCTATCGTCCATCGCCCATCGCTCAGGGCCTGAGTTTCACCATTGAGGAGCGACAGCGTCTGGGCGTCCACGGACTGTGGCCGTGCTCGACACGCAACATGGAGGAGCAGCTGTACGCCGTGGGGATAAACTTTCAGGCGCGCAAGGACAACATCAGCAAGTTCACGTACATCAACTCGCTGTCGCAGCGGCACCAGCGGCTGTTCTACCGCTTTCTCAGGGACTACACGGAAGCTGTGCTGCCCGTCATATACACGCCGACGGTGGGGGAGATCATCACCTCGTTCGGGCTGCACTTCAAGTATCCCGATGGCCTGTACATCACTATTTTCGACCGGGGCCACATCAGGGACGTGCTCACAAACTGGAAGGCGAAGCATGTCCGGGCCATGTGCGTCACGGACGGGGGTCGCGTCTTGGGGCTAGGCGACATGGGGGCCAACGGCATGGGCATATCCATTGGCAAGATTGCCCTGTACACCGCCTTGGCTGGGGTGCCGCCGGATCAGCTGCTGCCCGTCTGCCTGGATGTGGGCACCGACAACGAGGAGCTGCTCGGCGATCCGCTCTATGTGGGAGCGCGGATAAAGCGCGTCCGCGGCGCAGAGTACGAGGATTTCGTTAACGAGTTCATGGAGGCTGCGGTGGACACCTTTGGCACGGACACCTTCATCCACCACGAGGACTTTGCCACGCCCGATGCGATCAAGTTCCTGAAGAAGTATCAGTACTCCTACTGCTGCTTCAACGACGATGTTCAGGGCACAGGCGCCACCGGACTGGCCGGCATGCTCAACGTGGAGCGTGTGACCAAACGGAAGCTGCAGGACATGGTCTTTCTGTTTGCCGGAGCAGGGAGTGCCGCCCTTGGCATTGCCAATATGCTGCTCACGGCCCTGAAAAGCCGAGGTCTCACCTCCGAGGAGGCTGCCAGCAAAATTTATCTGTTCGACCAGAACGGTCTCGTGACGTGCGCATCGGAAAAGATTGAGGCGCAGGCCAGGAAGTTTGCCAAGCCCATGGATCCGATCAAAGACCTCGCCGCTGCGGTGGACCATCTGAAGCCCTCGATTCTCTTGGGGGCCACTGGCGTGGGTGCACTCTTCTCCGAGCAGGTGCTCCGATCATTGGCAAAACACCAGGAGCGACCTGCCGTGTTTGCGCTCTCAAACCCCACCAACAGGACCGAGTGCACGGCCGAGCAGGCCTACAATTTCACAGAGGTACAGCCAAAGATCTTTCCGTTCTGCTCTACATATGATTTTCCTTAGGGTCGAGTGCTGTTCTGTTCGGGATCGCCGTTTCCGCCCGTGGTGTTCAATGGCAAGCGCTTCACACCCGCGCAGGCCAACAATTGTCTGGTGTTTCCGGGAATAGCTTTGGGGGCAATTTGTGCACGGGCCCGCTTTCTGCCGGACGACGTCTACTCCGAAGTGGCCGTCACGCTGGCCAAGAGCACCTCCGAGGAGCGACTGGCCGCCGGCAGCTTATATCCCGCCATCAAGGAGGCCCACTCCTTGGCCTTGGACGTGGGCGTCACCGTGTGCCAGTATCTGTTTGAAAACGGTAGGATTTAGCTTTGGTTTCGATCGTTTTCCGTGACTGATTTCCTTTCGGGCTTCTGCAGGCCTGTCAAATATCTATCCCGTGCCCAAGGATGTGTGCGAATTCGTTCAGAAAACTCAGTACAGACTGGTGTACGAGAGCGCTCTGCCGCCCACCTGGCCGTATCCTGATTTTCCTGCCTGTCAAGGCAAAGATTGCAAAGCGAAGCCTCTTTTGTAATTAGATACAACTCCCACACAGATACTCACACCTGCACACATTCAGATACTCGTGTATCTGGTTCTCTGAGAATGGAGGAGGCGGTAAATGCTCGACATTTTAACGTTATTATTGTCCTGTCAACGAGGGACATTGACATGCCGCCTGCTCTGGCTGCTCTCGCTGCTCGGCGAGTCTGTTTGTGTATGCGCATGTGTATCTGTGTGTGTATCCTGCTGATTTGCATATAAAATAGGACGAAATGTCTGCTGCTCACCAAAAATGTCAATCAATTTCTTTCTTTTCCCTCTCGTCTCTCGCTCTGCTTTTGGTCTACCCTACAGTTGTGGTGCTTGAGGGTATATTGTTGGGCAGGAAAAGCCTCCGACCATACAAAACTCACAGATACTATATTTTTTCCCATACTTTCATCTATTTTCGATTAATTTCCAAGAGAATTCTTTAGAAATTTTCCCAGTAAGGGGTATCTTTGGTTAGTAGATCCGACAATATATCTTTCATTCTTGCTTAAACGCTCCACAAACACACAAACACACACACGACACACACACACACACAACGAGGGAGCGAAAGGACGTGCATGCATTAAAAAGCAATTGGTGTTAAAAGAGCAGTCAGGCGGCAGTCGCACGTTGTCTCCCTCTGCCTCCGACTCTCCCTCTGCCCCTGGTCTGCCTGCCTGTCTATCAGCTTGGCATTGGCATGTGCCTGCTCCTCTTCTCCCCACATCCTGGTATCCCGCCACACACACAGAAACTTGCCACGATGTTGATGTTGTCGATGTGGAGACATCTCCAACCCAAAGATGGGGCAGGAGATGGTGCATAAAAAAAGGCAAGGCAAAAATGTGAAATCATTTTCTTCAACTGACAGCTGTCAAAATATTTGCTCTCTGTCAAAGTGCGTCCCTTTGCCGCGTGAGTCCTTGTGTGTCCTCGTGGCCTTGCAGCGCCTGGAACTGCCATTTTAATATTCATTACTTCACACTTTAATACACCCCCCACTCGCATAACGTTGACCAGGGACCACATTTGGCTGCTGCCCCACCAATCAATACTCCGCCATGCCTCGTTCGGGAGTGGAGAATCTTTAAGTGGCGGCGGAGCCAAAACAGATCTCGGAGCGCTCTCGTTCGTTACGGTTAGCTTGGCTTATAGAATTTAATTGGCCATAAAAATGTATGCGGCTTGTTGAACGTGGCTAAATCGTAAATTTCCGCAGCTGAAGGGCGGCAGCTTTGCCCCACACCAGCATCGATTTACGCCCCACAATGGGGCTCTAAATTTAAATGCCAGCGGCAAAGGTTAAGGGTTCTTTTTTCACTAGATTATATGACGCGTCAGCGAATAAATTATAGCCCAGATAAACCAAATAAAAGAGGAGCTAAACAGGGTCCTCTTTCCCCACTAAAGTTCCGTTTGGGTTTTGTTGGTAATTGTTGAACGTGGTTTCATATTTGCATGGCTTTATTTCTTTCTCTCCTCCTGGCTCTGTTATCAATCTGGCCAAGCCTAAGCCTTAAATAGGCCAGAGGAGGGCCTGTGGTCAAAAGCCAAAGCTCACTTGACTGTGTACAGTCGATAAGTAGCCTCAATAAACACAAAATTCTACTCAGACTTGCTTCGGTTACGGCTTCTGTTGCTGCTTGCTGGCACTAAGGAAAAGCCGATGCTCTGCTGCCGACCGCTACTTCATTTTTTTGAAGATTTTCATTTATCTGCTGAGATAGATAAAACCGGCCACAGAGCCAGGTCAGAGGAAAAACTGAAGGCCAGAAAGCAAGTAGCACTTGGATCCATTTAGGCGAATTTTTCAAGCATTAAATTTGCGTTTACGTTACGTATACTTAACTTCCAGTGGCAACGACAGAGCAGGGGCTGGGGAATGTGGCAGCTGTATCCTGGGCAGGTAAATGAAAAATATTCCCTCTTTTTCGTGGAGCCAAATGGATTTTACATCATTTGTCTTAGCCAGGCCAAGAGCGAGCTGCTCTCTTGTCTCCTTCAAACACATACACAGGTGTGTGTCTCTGGCTCTGCCTGCCTCTCCATATGGTCACAGTTTTTGGACCAACTTTTCTTTGCCACTCCCCGCCTTCCATATGGAAGCCTCTTCTACTCGTATCTATGCGGTTCGCACAGTCAACAGTTTTGTTTTGCTGCGTCCTCCATTGTGTTGTGTGTTGTGTGTGTGTTTGCGGCCACATAAATGCCGCGCAACGCCCACTGAAAGCCCCCCATCCATAGTCCCTTTCCCTTGCCCCACACTCTTCTGTTGTTTGTAGAGAAATTTTTCTTATCTCCACTTTGCATGCCGCACAGTGTTTTTTTTTCCTCTGGGCCCTGATTCCCTTACGTTACGTTTCATTTTGTTCTTTCTTTTTTCCAGACGAACTGAGTCAGCACTTAATTTTTATTTGATTCTCGTCTCAGTTGCGGTTCAGCTGCTTGACTTGCCACTCCGCTGCGGAGTGGGAGTCCGGGAGTCCTGACAGTCCCTGGAGTCGAGAGACAAGCGTGAGAGAGAGAGTGCGTAATTTTGTATGGCGTTAATTTAACAATGATTGGCTTTCCACCAGCCACAGCAAAGGAAAACTGCTTTTCTGTACACTGAACTGCCAGGGCAGTGGAATTTTATGAAGACAAATGCCAGGACACCCCACAGAAGAAGGGTCAATAGAGCGCCTTGATGTGATGGCTAGACAGGTGAGGCACTTGCCAGAGTCTTATTATTGCAGGTACCTATGGAATTTTGGGGACTTCAAGGAAGTGCAAACAAAAAAGGACAAAAGGCTTTGGCTTTCAGTTCCAAAAGATAATTATAACAGTCGGAACAGAGGGAAGACGTTCGCAATTCCTTTGCTCGTTCCTCGATTCTTCTCTTCAATGTACCTTAAAGATATATATTGCCTGGATGCATTTGGATTTGCATTAGCTTTGGGGAAGAGTTACCCGAAGCCAAGTCGGGTCGCAGTCCCAGCTGCCATGCATCAAGCTTATCTCTGTTTCTGCAGCA